ACACTGTTATAAATTTGATTCTATATGAAAAGCTAACTTTAACAAAGATGAGTTAGAAACAATGCTGACAGCTATTCAGCAGAACAAAGTGTTGCTACACGGGACGTTTTCCGATTCTATTATCACAGACAATCCTACGGCCGTCAACAAATCCAATGGATTTGTTCGATCTCTGAAATCCTTTTGGATATTCTATTTTGATCTCTTGAATATTGCAAGCGACATTTTATCAACTAAGAGAGAGATAGGGGTGCCCTTGACCACTCTTAGAATTTTTTGTTAAGTTTTTAGTAAAAAAAGAATGCTGATACACTTAAAATGTGCTAAGAGTAATCAAAGACGATCTTATGTTGATTATCGACATTCGTGATACCAAGTCGATACGATTAAAACTAAGAGAGCGTTCCGAGAAGGATAAAGAGTACTCTTAGGGTTCCGAGTGCAACATGAATTTTAAGGGCTGTCAATCATTCTAAGATTACTTCAAGATACCCTCTTGGCAAATAAGATGATCTTAAGATGGTCTTAAGCACTATGATTGCTTCATGATACCGGCCCCAGGTTCGTGATGTAATAAAGGTCTTAAATATTATGGAGACATAGTTCTACTTATCTTAAGAATTACGGTATATTTTATCATTCAATGGCTGTACCAAAAACCACAAAATACTTCCGCGCTTCATACAAAATGTGCTTCGATCAACGCTTTTACACCTAAGAAGAAGCATTCAATTCTTAGATAATTACAATACATAGAAGTTGCAAACGATTCCATAATTTTGCTTAGCTGAGGCATTCGTAAAGGTAAATTTTTTCCCGTATAAAATGCAAAATCCATTACTGGATGCGCTATTCGTGACAACATCAAAACAATGCACAGGAAAAACAATCGAAAGGATTGATTTAACTCGTAATTTCGTGAGTGTAGCATCAATGCTTCTTCTTATAACGCCAAAGCGTTGACAGTGCGCACACGTTTAGTATAAGCGCTTCGCGCTTCATATAAAATATGCTTCGGTCAACGTTTTTACAATCCAATAAAACCAACAAAAAGCAGCGTTTAATTCTTAAATGATGAAAATTTGATATGACGTACTTTAATTTTAAAACGTAGAAAGAACATCGAACTTTTGTATGTTTTAACATGCATGGTCGGTACATACATCGACATTCGAGATACCAAGTCGATATACATTTCTACTGCGTCTAAAACACTTCATGTTGTCATTATTAACAAAACATAGTAAGAAAGACTAAGTGATATCTGAGACATATCGTGGTGTGAATCTTATAGTGTTATATGTCCACTTTTAAAACAGATGGAGATAGCTATGTATTTGAGATCCAAGTACAGTCTATAATACGAGATTTCTACAGTCTACGAGTTTTTTCAGAACTATACTGTTTGATCTCCACACTCACATTGAATAATAGTGGCGTATTCATTTTTTTAGTTTAGAGAAAAATATTTTTATAGTGTTGTATCTCCCCTATTTCTCATATAGTTTTTATGTTAAATAATTGTTATCAAAATTATCTTTAGTAGTACTATGATTAAATGGTTTGCATGGTTTGAACTCAATCTATGAGCAATTCTTAGCAAATCTAGCCATACAGAATCGGGGATATTACAAAGTTAAAAAATCCATGGTCTATCTCCAATGGAAATATAAGGATAAATTTCTAAAACTACATTGTTTGTAGTGAAATATTTTATATCCAAAAAGGGGGATGCTTTATTTATCTAAAAAAAAAACAATCGAACAAAGAGTTACTCTTCATGTACGTAGATACGATTCAAATGTATGTCTCAGTCAAATATTTATGATATTGAGCTTTTAACTAAGATGTTTACCACTATTACCAAATGGGAAATATATCATTTTAAGACTCACACGACGATATGTCTCTGACTGTTTTTCGTACATTGTCGATTTTATGTCACGTCACTTTGCCTTACAATCCCGGGTTCGTTTAAGGATAGACATTTTTTTTTCTGTACTAAATGTATTATAAATATAATTGTAGCCATATTTAGCGTCAGTATTTAAACAGTATTGGATCAATGTCAGAAAAATATCATTTTATTTGTTTTTGTTTGTATTCGGCACGAAACTGTTAAAGTGCTCGGTAAACCTCGTCCTTCCCAAGTTTCTATGCCTGATACAAACAAGTGAATATTTGTCTGACATTGACCTAATATTTTGTAGTTTTTGATTATATAAAAGTGATTAAATCTAGTTAAACTCGTAAAAATAAGAAGTTTGTAAAAAAAAAAACATCCACTCCTGTTCAATTTTAATGTTTTAAAATAATTCAATACAATCATCTTGTGTCGATGATCTTAAACTTACATGTATATATGATTGTAATATATAACATAATTTAATACGAATTGATACCGGAAGTGATACGTTATTTGTTTTTAATATCAATTTGTTCGAATTATAAGATTACTTTTCAAACGGTTACCTTTAATTTGTCTTTTGTTTGTCTGGGTAGTGTATTGTGTTGAATTAATTATACCAACTATGTTTCATCATAGTAGATCAATTGCTTTGGGAATGTATTGACATTTTTATAGAGCGGGCCATGATACCCATTGAATAAGAAGACAAAGAATACATACAACGGCTAATTAAATGCTTATCTAACCACTAACAGATATGCTCGTACATGTCAGACGGTTATTGTACTTTTACGTTTGATGTTGATTGTTTGAAGTGCAATAAATCAACTTTAAAAATGGGAAATTTAAATCATTTGTTACGGAAGAGGAAAGGCTAATTAAACATACAATCACCTGCATTTCTTTTTTTTTTTGAGTGGCTCAGTTCTTATGTTTCCATGTAGTGTTTTGTATACTCGTATGTTGGTTATCTTTTCGTCTTTTTTGTTTTTGTCTCGCCTGCGACAATAGTGTTGTTTTTCCGGCGTCGTCTTCAACAATTGTTTTCTGATGAAAATCAGTTTGATGGGAACTACTTGTGAAATATCAATGATATTTTCTATTAAGCTGCATTACTATCAGTACATATCAAAATGTCGACCATTTAGAGGCCCTGCTCTCTTGGTCAAGGTCCAGCAACTTTGAATTATTAAGCAATGTTGCTGTCCATCAGATTGTCTATTTCTGAATTTTCAACAGTTTATCGTTTAAGTCATAGTTTTGTTAGTTTTCTTCGACTTGTGTTTTTTTATTGTCCCTTTAGTATATGCCCCCCTTTTTTTAAATGTGTAACATTATATGCTCAAGTCGATGAGGAATTATAAAAATTGAAAAAAAAAAACACGTTTGATAATTTCATGCGTCCGAAGCGCTTTTCTGGATTTACCTTCATCAGGAACGCTCAAAGCCAAACAAAAAGTGTATACGTATTGCCCGTGAACCTATAGCTAGAAACGTTGATCCTAATCTGCACTATATGCATCGCATCCTGGTTTGATTGGTGTATCTTAAAAAAAAAGATATATTTTAAGTTTTTAAGTTTATATTTTGTGATTATAATCAATTTTAAAGAGAAACGAGCAATATGCGTGCGTATAATATCCGTTTAAAAATTTTAAATATATATAGGGAAATATTGATGATAAGGTAGGTTCTCAAGTGCAACATAGCTCTTCGTTTTAGCCTACCACACTAAGAGGAAACACAACTAATAATTACATCACTGTCGTCGGTAATGATACTTACATTTACATCCTGTGTTATTCACATTTGCTCGTTCTATTTTGAAACAAATGTGACAAGTGGGAACAGATTAAGAAAACAACGTAATGGAATCCCTAAAAAACTAGCTAAAAGCATGGGTTAGATTAATTTTATTGGTTATTACTTTCAAATTGACAGTTGGTCAAATATAAAGAATAATTAAAGTTTACATCCTGCCATCCTGAATGCCAACATAGTGTTTATCAATCCATAGAGTTGTGTACAATTTTCAAACAGATTTTAATTCCATATATAAAAATAAACATAGTATAAGGCTCTTACTAAACATTTGAACGTCTATTTGAAATGTACAATGACACTTATAATTTAGAGTATTAGTTTTTTTTGTACCTTTTCATGGCTCTGACTGACCTAAATAAACATTCGTACAGTAACTTGCTTCTTCAGTAACTGTTTACAAAAGTTTCTTTTGATTCAAATAGTTTAAATTTAGAGTCTTCATGTAGACGTGTTCATCTAAACTATCACCTACATAATGAATTTACCAAAAGTAATATAATTGATTCAAACTACAGACTTATAATATTTTACATAATGAAGTAGCTGCTCAGTGAACAATTTACAACAGCAGCTACTTCAATAGGAAAAGAACAAAGTTAACTTAACAAGGATCATTTTTTAATTTATCAACGTTTTTTTAGCATGTCCTTTCAAACTAGGAAGCTATCATTCACACAGATGGTGAGTTTTAAAAGTTCGAATGAAAGTGTCAACACCAATGGGATATCTCGGTTATTTAGAGACATTGTTTCGTATTTACTTCCGCATTTTAAAAACTTTATCCTCTTATACAAAGGTTACGTAATATGTTTTACATCACGCCTATTTGTCTGTGCATATGTCCTTGAGAACATACATCTATCCGTCCTAAAACTTTGCATACTTATTTCAAATGCAATAAGGAGGCATGCATTTAAAATTGCGGGGGATAGCCGGGCGTGGGGTGAAATTGATGTATTGAAGCTAACATAAATAGATGCACTTTTCAAAAGTGGTAATAGATACATTTTACAAAAACATAGTTTAAATGTTACAATGCTTCAATACTGAACACAATGCGGTCTGCGATTTAAAATGGTTTATGGTCGACTGCTTTACACACGTCATTTAATCCAGTATACTATGAGATGACCGAGTTACATGATTTATCCATCCGGATTTTGACAAATACATCATTACATATTACACATACAGTACACGGGTCGTTTTCTCTGTTAAACACTAGTTGAAAAGATGACATTCATTTTGTGAATTCTTTTTAAAACTTTCGTTACCAAGTTTACATTTAAATCTATAACTTTTTAAGACATTAATAGGATACAATGTATATGTACAAAATGTATGCCTGACTGCTCTAGGAGTACAAAAAACCAACTTAAGAAATCCAAATCGGGTATAAATACAGATTTGTAAGCATTATGGCTAGTACTTCCTGGTTAATCATATATAACAGTGGACACAATGTGATGTTGTACATGTAATTGCTGCAATGAAGGTTAGTTTATTTTTTCTTTACTTCATGTAATACTTTTAGAAAAACAAAACGAAGAACCAAACCAATTGTATAGATGGTTGACAAAAACAATACAAACTTGTACAAACAGTTACATTTTAAATCATCATTATAATATAATGAATAAGGAAATAACTAAGATTAAGTACTAAGAATTAAGAAATTATAGCGTGCATTTATTATTGCCATTTGTACATGAAAGACCAAAAAGTGAGTATGATTATTATGTAAGGAAAATCTGCAATCAAATATATTTGTCAGATTTCAGAAAGCGAGTTCTGATTATTGCAAAACTCACCCAGTTGTATTATTCATTTGAGTATTAGCAACTATAAAATCCTCCCAAGAAGTTCAACCTTTCAGTATTCGCATACAATTCTATTAAAGATTTGAAGTTTGAATAAGTTCATATCACGATCATTATACATATAAAAAGTAGCACTAAGTTTCTCTGATTTTATCTTTAGTGTTTAGATGGTTATGGAAGATACGGAAATTCTTGCTTATACGTTACACGATTTGGATGTATAATATAATTTTTATTAATAGTGTGTGTTCATCTTGTTGAATTTATAAATACTAGTATTCTACATCGTCTACTGAGATGCCTAAATGACCATGCAAGCTATGTAATTTTCAAACAAAGACATACAATCAATTAACCCTTTCATGCATGCGTATCATGACCATAAAAATGGTAGTCTTTACTGGTAGGTACAGTTTCATTGCTTGATATATGTATCCTCTGCATGTTTCAATCAATTTTGACCAAGCGTTCCAGTGACATAAAATTTCTCTTTTGACATAAGTGACATATCAATGTAACTTATAAATCGTAATTCATAGAGATCTAAATTCTATTTATATGTGGTCCTTGGACAATGAAAATGAAACTGAGTTCAAAGGCAATGGTCTAGATCAGATTTTGAATTTAGAAAGTAGATTGTTATCATCATTTTCAGAAACTGTTACAATAAACGACAAAAGGATGTTGCTTATTGGCTACGATATGTCGCAATTTCATTAAATTTTGTACAAAGTGCTTTGGTAACTTTGTGTTGGACTGTTTTTTCTTTTTATCTATTTGTAATCAGAATAACTTATCGACCATACATATTATAGTCCAAGAATTGTCTGCTAATGGAGGTCAACATCAAAGGTAAATTTGTCCTTGGGATCGGGGATAAACCGGAGAGGTCAGCAAAACACTCTCGACTAGGTGCGTCCCGTAATATTCGGGAACTCAGCTGATTTTGTCTACTGGGATTATAATCGTGACCATGTCGTGACAAATTCTGCAGTATCGGATAAAAATCGTAACAATCCTGCATCTGGTCACTGTTGGTTTACTATCTGATCTCTGTCGGACCTCATTTCGGAGAATCGGGACGCTGTCGAGACAGATTCTGTTGTTTGTTTTAGCATGCGAAAGTTACAAATTTGACGAGAATTAGATTAAGAACGGAATAATAGGGACGCTTCATGAACAATATATTATTGTTGTCGTGATTGAATAAATGTTTTTACAAATGTTCAGTCACTAATCACAGGATCTTGATCCGACTCTTGACTAATTTTAATCGGGAAAAGTCCTATCAAGGACGACAATAAAAATTCTAGTGCGTGACAAAGGGTATATATAAGAAAATTTAAAGAAAATTATTCTCTATACTTTGTCCTTGCTATCATAGAAATAGACAAAACATAGCTTTCCTTCATAAAATTGAATTATATGAGCTATATCTCCTCATAATGCTGATTCTAGTTTTCTGGCCTTTTTTGTAAAGAAAAACCGTTCTAATAATACGATGAAATTACATAGATGTATTTATTCAAATAAAAAGTTTTGTAAATGAATTGTATTCCGGCCTCAAAATGTTCTTATTTCATTACAAAGCCAGACAGATCGTTTTCAGCTAGTAGTATTCGACTAATCTCTTAACTCATTAATACAGCGGAGACGTAAATTTTACGTGAACATATTTTTTAAATGGTATTTTTCGTGATTTTAATAAATTTGAAAACTGAGATGTTATTTGAATAACTTTATTTAAAAAAAAAATCACGTCAATTTCATATGAATTTCACAAGAGTTTAACATGAGATTCACGTCAAACTTGCGAAAAATCAGTTCACGTGAGTTTTTTTTGTATAACTCGTTTGAGAAGAAATTCATTTGAGTATTTGAAACCCTATGGGATTTTTTCCTAAATTTTCTTGTCATAGTAACCAAATTGACATGAATGATTTATGGGAGATTGAAAGACATTGCTGAAAAATAATATCTGATTAGCGAGTTCAGTATAGTATAGTATTGATATTTTGCAAACCCTCTACAAACAATTCTCGTTTTATAATTCTGATTGAATGAAAAAAGAACCACCGGTACTTAAAAGGCAATCATTAATTCTTGCTAGCATATTTCCAAAACTTTCTCCTGTGAAACTATATTGAGAATATTTGCTAAAGGTTCTCTTTATTCATAATTACATATACGTACAACAGCAGTATAACGTAATAAAATAATGAAGGATACACACGTTAAATATATAATTGAATATTATGCTGATTAAAAGAAACATTATAATATGCATATTGTCATAAAGTATGAAATTCAATATAAGATACGTTGTTAAAAAATGTATAATGTTACAGGCATTTTCTAAATTTAGTCATTTTGTAAAATGACTGAATTTTCAGGCAATTGATAAAATCCCCAACCTTGACAGTCATTATTTAAAATGACTAAAAATACCTAGTCATTTTGTTAAGCGACTGAAATTTTTAAATAAAATTCAACAACTTGCATGTTTAGTTCCAGGTGATTTGTAGAAAAAGGATAATACATAATATCTTGTAAAGAAAAAAAAAGTAATGGTTCGGTTAAATTATCCCGCAATGGTGGTAGGTCGTGCACTTAAGGCCATTTTTGATTTTATTTTTCTGTGGACTTAGCTTTGTTTTTCTATTACTGTGTATTGTCAAGCTTGGTTACTCATAATTGTTTCTCAGTCACTGAATGTACGATGTTGTTCCATACTGCAGCAGCTGACCCGGTTTGTTTACATTCAAATTCTAATGGCTTCAAAACCACGTGACACATTGAATCGTTATATCCAATCAAATTGCTCTACTGTCAATAAGTTGATTTTTTAGTACAAGGCAATTATATTATTTGATTGTATGATATTGCTTTTAAATAGTTTGCAATAAATTGGGGGTTTATTCAATAGGAAACCTCATTATTAGCCATGAAATTTGACATCAATGGAATTTTATAAGAATACTTACTTATGGTCAGAATATCGATCTCTTTATATTGAACCAACATTTTTTTCTATGAAAAATATATTTATATTGTTTTTTATTAACCTACTCTATATTCCTGAACAAAAATATGGCATGATTATCGTTTGTTTCCTAAAGCTGTTCTTTCAATTTGGATGTTTTTTTTCGCGGGAAAATCGCGTAAAACGTAAGGTGCTTGCCATTTTGAAATTCTTAAAAATACGATTTGCTTGGCCTGTTTGGTCTGCCATTAAGATTGATGACGCTTAATGGAATGTAAACAAAGCAATGGAGGCCGGAAGAGGGATTTTCTGAAGTTCTGGAATGTTTTTAGGCATTCGGAAGTCAGGTTTGAAACGGCAATTAGAAAATTGGCATTTTTGTACAATACTTTAGAATAACAATGAAAACATATCTTTAGAAATGTTTGTTTATTTAGAAGAGTAGAAAAAATGTATTCTGCACTAATTTTGTACCCTGGTATTAGCGTAGTAACGTCAATGCGGAGTTTTCCCGTGTGATAAGTACAATAACAAAGTCCGAACGAACCAACATGATGACCGATTATAGACTACGGTAGGATATATTTATTTTAAAATAAAAGCTGGGAAAGTTTGTTTGTCTATTATTACATGAATTAGTTATTTTTAGTGAAATTACGTTAAATATGTACTTACTCTGTATTTCAGATAGAAATTTTATGATTTTCTTGTCATGATGGTAAGACCAATTGTTCTTACAATTGAACATAATTTACAAACACATTTTAAGTTAATCTATATACAAAACAGAAGCATGTAATATGAAGCAGAGGAAACGAAGGGTGTTTTTTTTTACTGCTTGTTGTTGATGTTTGCGTTCAGAAGGACATATTTCATGCATATCTAGGAAGAGAACAAATTGATATGAAATCATAGGTGTACATTGTAAGTTCTGCAATGAATTGACCCGGATAAGCGGCTTAAAGTTCGACTGCGGCTTGAAATGGAAGTATGTTGGATAGGGACAGAAATGTTGCCCTCAAACATACCGTCTATAGAACGGTCAAGGAGTTGTTAACGTACGTAGAGCGTGGAACACTCTTTACACGATGCATCAGATTTAATATCCCCCTTCAGAAAGAATGTAAATGTTCACATCCTTCACAGCCAAATGGATTCCCCATCATAGCATTGGTTACAAAGTCATGTTTTGTTGTAATACAAAGAATTAATATCTTCATCTTCACTGCCTCAAGGGAACTCGTGAGTCTTATGATCCCGATGAATTAAAGTGACAGTGGTTTATTGATGTTTAAATCACGGTAACCAAACAAAACCTGAGGGAATCGCATCATCTCAAAGGAAGCATTACTGGGTATGTCGACAGGACAGGGTGCGTGTCCTGTGCTACGCATGAATACCCCGCCATGCAATGATCTGTTTCAGCCTGTTTGAATGCTCTGCTATGCCATAGGGTGTAAGTCAACCTAATCAAGCTAATGGTACCTTCAATCTTTTGGGACCAAATGAAAAAGAAGATATTCATATGCGTGCTGTTTGCGAAAACACCTGTTTTTCGAAAGTTTAGTAATATTAGAAACAAATGTATTGACAGAGCTAAATATGTCATGGTCCAGGCTCAACAAATGGCCCGAGAACACAGTTATTTTGTAGTGCATTTCTTTTAGACAAAAAATTCAAATTAAAAAAATCGCACCTGCTCTATCTCAAAATGAGTTTTACAGTGTAGTGTACTACTATAGGGACAACTAATATCAAAATTATAGAAACTTCTACCAGCTCTGACTCAAAATATTGACAATTCTGTGTTAAGGGGGTCTAAAATTCAGTTTGACAGCTTCAGACGTACTTATTTTTGACCTTTTTTAACTGGACCAAATCACTACTTAACATAAAGATTTAGCACCCAATTTTTTTTAACATGTAATTTCATCCCCTTACTTAATATTTCATGCATTAAGTATCAAGAAATACATTGGGAAAATGTATCAAAAAAAAATGCAAGTTATACACTGTTCACACTAGGGACTATATTCGTAGACAACGAAAACACAACGAAAACCAAAAGACGATAACTGTGTCCTTGGACCAAATATTGTTGTATAGCTATAAGACCAGATTTAACACCACAAACCTGCTCTATTGTTCAGTACTTTCGATAGATCAGTTTGTGTGAACATTTCATTCAATAAAACCATTTTAGGCATTTTTTAAAAATGCGTTTCAAATTTTCCACGCATTTTGTAAAATTCCGGAAAACAATAGTCAATATTAATAATGCCTGAATCTTACAGGCATTTTAAAAATGTCTTAATGTTTTAGGCATTTTAGAAAATGTCTTTAGGTTTTAGGCATTTTACAAAATGTCTTAAGGTTTTAGGCATTTTACTTAAATTAAGAAAATGCCTGTAACATATGTATATTATTTTCCTGAAGCAGAAGATTTCATTCTGTCTTTTTGTGTTTTGTTTGTGGTCAAAAATTTAAATTTCGAATAGACAAAAAACAGCTAACAAAACATTACAAAAACAAAAATAATGATCAACACACTCTCCATAAAAAGTGAGTAAACTCATGTTCCCCTGAAGGATCAGTAGTTCCTGCTCCACTAGTGATACCCGCTATGTAACTAGTATTGAAGTACGCTGATGAATCATTCAGATAAAAGTTACTTTCACATGAATTAGTAGTCATTTCAAAACAATTTAAAAACTCCAGCTATTTGTAAATATTTTCAATAGTGATTATGATAACAGATAAAATTTCATTTCAGAAGATTTTAAGGATAGCACTATTATCAATTATCACTGCGACCTTTATTGTGACAGTAGCAGCGCAATGTAAGTGACTGTAGTAATATAAGAAAATCTGCACCAATTACATATTAAAATGAACCTAGCAGATGGCAATACACGTGCATGTATTCGTCAAACTAATGATATGCTGTCTTTCTCGTTTTGTCAATAAAATGGCTCCTTTAATCATGATGTGTTTTGGAATACACTGTAAATGAACTAAAATCATTACAGCAGGTTTATTTAATTAAGCTACTAACTTTAGATATCAGTGATACTTCTTTGAAACTGTATGATAAACATGAAATATCCTATGGCTTTTTCTATATCGCACCTGTATCAACCTGAGACACCAATATAATCCCTAGACCTCTGATCGAAGGATTAAACTGGTTGAGGGTTGATACGATGTGTGATAAAAAAAATATTTCTAACCGTTGCAACGCAATCATTATTGATAAAACTGAAACCAATGTATAAAATCGACGGGATTTCTCTATGATTGTACGCTGACACAATTGAATCCTTGTTTAAACCTTGACGATGCAATTATCACCAACACACAGTCAATGTCAACAATAACACAATTTTGATACAAATTATTTACAAATAGTACAATCCCATATATGTTGACTGGATATTACTTAATCAATTAAAGGAGGTGGTCGTTTAACCAGAATTTCCCGAGCTTTCTGCGATAATTTGAACCTTGTCTCATGTCTGGATTTTTTCATGTTTTTGAACTTGATATAGACCATAAAGAAATCCTCCTCGTTTTCCCTTTTTCACTTAAAGCTAATTGATATGCGAACTTGCACTTATTTCGCTCAGATTTAGCTTTTCTATTCCGATCAAATACACCATCAATTAAGGTAGTTCAGGGGTATAGAAAAAAAATGACAGAATTTTGTTATACTTTGTGAACTTAAATTTTGTAGCATGGTCATTGAAAAAATTCAAAAAAAATTGGGGGTCACCGGCCATCTAAGAGATTTTTTGACCTCTGAAAATGAGTGCAAATAGGCTATATGGATATATAGGGAAAATGGACATAAAACCTCTTTGATTGAATTTTCACAGCAAACAAAATGACAGAAGTTGCTCATTTTTTCATACTGAAAAGTTTGATGTCTCTATTTTATGAAATTGGAATAAAATTTGGGGGTCACTGGCTATCCAAGAGATTTTTTGACCACTAAAAATGAGTGCAAAAAGGCTAAATATAGGGAAAATGGACATAAAACCCCTTTGATTGAATTTTCACAGCAAACAAAATGACAGAAGTTGCTCATTTTTTCATACTGAAAAGCTTGATGTCCCTATTTTATGAAATTGGAATAAAATTTGGGGGTCACCGGCCATCCAAGAGATTTTTTGACCACTAAAAATGAGTGCAAAAAGGCTAAATATAGGGAAAATGGACATACAACCTCTTCGATTGAATTTTCACAGCAAACAAAACGACAAAAGTTGCTTATTTTTTCATACTGAAAAGCTTATTGTCTGTATTTTATGAAATTGGAATAAAATTTGGGGGTCACCGGCCATCCAAGAGATTTTTTTACCTCTAAAAATGAGTGCAAAAAGGCTAAATATAGGGAAAATGGACATAAAAACCTCTTTGATTGAATTTTCACAGCAAACAAAATGACAGAAGTTGCTAATTTTTTCATACTGAAAAGCTTGATGTCTCTATTTTATGAAATTGGAATAAACTTTGGGGGTCACCGGCCATCCAAGATATTTTTTGACCTCTAAAAATGAGTGCAAAAAGGCTAAATATAGGGAAAATGGACATAAAACCTCTTTGATTGAATTTTCACAGCAAACAAAATGACAAAAGTTGCTAATTTTTTTCATACTGAAAAGCTTGATGTCTCTATTTTATGAAATTGGAATAAAATTTGGGGGTCACCGGCCATCCAAGAAATTTTTCGACCTCTAAAAATGAGTGAAAAAAGGCTAAATATAGGGAAAATGGACATAAAACCCCTTTGATTGAATTTCAACAGCAAACAAAATGACAAAAGTTGCTAATTTTTTCATACTGAAAAGCTTGATGTGTCTATTTTATGAAATTGGAATAAAATTTGGGGGTTACCGGCCATCCAAGAGATTTTTTGACCTCTAAAAATGAGTGCAAAAAGGCTAAATTTAGGGAAAATGGACATAAAAACCTCTTTGATTGAATTTTCACAGCAATCAAAATGACAGAAGTTGCTCATTTTTTCATACTGAAAAGCTTGATGTCTCTATTTTATGAAATTGGAATAAAATTTGGGGGTCACCGGCCATCCAAGATATTTTTTGACCTCTAAAAATGAGTGCAAAAAGGCTAAATATAGGGAAAATGGACAAAAAAACCTCTTCGATTGAATTTTCACAGCAAACAAAATGACAGAAGTTGCTCATTTTTTCATACGGAAAGCTTGAAGTCTCTATTTTATGAAATTGGAATAAAATTTGGGGGTCACCGGCCATCCAAGAGATTTTTTGACCAGTGAAAATGAGTGCAAAAAGGCTAGATATAGGGAAAATGGACATAAAACCTCTTTGACTGAATTTTCACAGCAAACAAAAATGACAGAAGTTGCTCATTTTTTCATACTTAAAAGCGTGATGTCTCTATTTTACGAAATTGGAAAAATATTTGGTGGTCACTGGCCATCCAAGAGATTTTTTTGGCCTCGGTAAATGAGTGCAAAAAGGCTAAATATAGGGAAAATGGACATAAAACGTCTTTCATTAAAATTTCACAGCAAACAAAATGACAGAAGTTGCTCATTTTTTCACACTGAAAAGCTTGAAGTCTCTATTTTATAAAATTGGAATAAAATTTGGGGGTCACCGGCCATTCAAGAGAATTTTTAACCTCTGAAAATGGGTGCAACTAGGCTTATTTCTGAATGGATATAGGGGAAATTGGAAAAAAACCTTTCTTTTTGAATATTCACAGGAAAAAAAATGACAGAACTTGCTAATTTTTATGCCCCATCGTAGCTGAGGGGGCATTGAATTTTAACCTTGTCCGTATGTAAGTCTGTTCGTCCGTATGTACGTCCCAGATTTGATTTCCGTTCTCCAGCTTTTATTTGCCTCAACCAAATGTTATGAAACTTTATCACAATGTTTTTACCACACAACACACACCAAGTTTTAATTTTGTTGGTGTCACTTTAACCGTTCTAGAGTTATGCCCCTTTACAAATTGAAAAATTGCTGAATTTTTCCTTTCCTTTCTCTAACTTTAGGGAGCTACCATTTGATTTTTATGGGGGGGCTAGGATGAAAAATTTTGTTCTGCCTTTTTATTTTTCCCTCTATTCAGTCCTGCCGTTTTATTTTTCCCTCTATTCAGTCCTGCCGTTTTATTTTTCACTCTATTCGGTCCTGACTTTTTTTTTTACATAAATTGTCATCCTGCCTTTTTTTTTGGCAAATAATCTCATCCTGCCTTTTTTTTTACTCAAAACTCCTGTCCTGCCTATTTTTTTCAAATTTCATCCTAGCCCCCCCCATAAAAATCAAATGGTAGCTCCCTTAGTTTGCTTTTACCAAATGTTATGATTGATATCTTGCAGTTTCCTTTGCATTTTCTTATCAAACTTTGAAGTATTATTAAGTATCATGTGCAGATTTCGGTGTAAATAGGCTGTGTTTGCTTTATATATAAGACTCATTTCTAAAGGAGCACCAACATAAAATATTATGTAAAGGAAACATGGCATTTTCTGTTTATTTTCTTATTATGATATGAGTTAGAATGTCCCATTTAAGTATGGTTAATCTTTCTTTTATCACACATTAAAGATTCAGATAAATGTGAGCATTTGTTCTCGTTTTCTTTTCATTTCTTTTTAATATTAAAAAAATACATTCCGAATAAATTTGACAAAAAATAGACTTACCATCACTACCACACATAATCAGCACAGTAAGTGCCCTTCTTTTTCCACTCCATTTGATTATCCAGTATTATGTGGTGATGTGCAAGTTATAATTGTTTTTTTTTTGTGTGTTACGAGTTGATTTAGGGAATTAACATGACTAAACATATTTCTTGATAGAAGTGAAACAACAATGTTCATGTGATCTAATACATTTATTTTATTTTCAATGGATATCTGTTCTTACGTTTGTTTGTACATATATAATTAAATAAAGATGCCAAATAAATTACATGTTTTTCTCTGTTAGAAATACTGTTTGTAGTAACTAGGTTAAATAATTTCACTGAATAGAATTTGCAAAGGCCTTGCTAATAATATAAATTTTTAAAAACATATTCAGACATTTTGCTTTGGACTTCAACATGACAAATTCTAGATTTAACCCTAATTTGGTTTTTTATACAATTATTTGCAAAATGTAGATCATAATGAATATGTATAAAATTTCATTAACTATGTTCAGCACAAACATTGACCTGACCAATACCTGAATACATGTATCATCATGTAAACATCAAATAGTCATGATTGAAGTCATCAAAATACTGTTTGTTTGAATATATTTGCCGTAACTTGTATAAGTCTTTCTGATATCATTTTATCCCATATTCAATCTTTTAAAGATGGAGATCTCCTTCTTTCCCATCCACAGAGGTAGGAGTATAATTATGCCAGACATCTTATTCAAAATTTTACTTTTTGAATATACAGTATTTTGATACTTCTGTACAAATAGATGAAAGTATGTTATCTATAGATAGCTTTTTAAAGTTTCAACAGCAATAACATTTTTAAATAATAGAGAAGTATATATATATATGAAATAAGATTGCATTTATTACACATTCATTGTGATTATTAAAGCCTTAATGTTAGTTGCTAATTTCTGTTCAATTGTTCTTAATTGCAATTAAGTATAGGATGTTTATCAAATAATACCTCAGCAATGTAATTATAACCCTCATTCTTTTGGAGTACAGCTGAGCTGACTCTGTAATTTAAAGATGCTGATGTGGAGAAATGTTTGGTTTTTGGAGCTTTGAGAGCAATTAAGTTATTAAAGCTTTCATTTGCCTGTGATGAGCCCAAGTTAGA